CAACGACGACTACGTCAGGACATGACTGCGCCCATGAGCCGCGCGCAGCGAGACCCCGCTTAACCCGCGGGCCGGGCAACCACGTTGCCGGCCCGCGCGGCGGGCGCGGGGGGCGCAGCGCCAGCCGCGCCTATATCACCTTGGAGCAGCACCACCAACACCACCACGTTGGACTTGAGTAGCCGGTGCATCTCCATTGGGGCCAACGCAAGGGCGCGATTTGGCAGGCGACGCCGCTGCACGAGCCGCCGCGCCCCCGCCCCCACCTGCCGACGTGCATTTGTCAAACTGGGTACACATGCCACGAGTCCCAGCATTCGGGGTCAGCACGCCATATGGATCGAGTTCCACGCGGCCACCACAATCCCCACCTGCAGCAGCGTCGCCACCAGCACCGGAGAATCCCCAAGATTTGGTCCCATTCAATCAGCGCGTCCACATCGACGCGAGCCAGCCATCTGAGACAGCAGCCACGTGGATCGCCGGCCGCGAGACCCGGATGTCGAGCGACGGCCGATCCGAACGCAGCGCGGGCACCACTCTCGATCGCGCGCAACGACGGCACCTCGACGATTTCCACGGCACACAGTTAGCATTGGAGCGCCTACGACAGCAGGGCGAGCAGCGACGCCAGGCTGCACAGAGTTGGACAGAAGCCCATACAGTTCCCCTCTGTCTCCTCCTGCGCCAGCCTCCGCGCCTGCTGCACTTCGCCCCGTGGCGGCATTCTCACAGGCAACGATAGGGAGTGCCCTATCCTTCTCGAGGCCGTCGGACATGGCGACCGGGTGGCGCGCCTACAACGCCGCCACATCTTGCACCAGGCATGCCATTTGCTCATGCAGAACACCGACATCGACGTGGCCCACTGCCTGGCGCACCGAGGCCCAGCCGACGTCATCGCCGAGCTCCGCTCCATTGGTGCAGATCGCGTTTCGGCGGGTCCGACACGTGGCGCTGGCCCGCGCGGCGGCCCCTGACCCAGCAGGCCCGACGTCTACGGCGCCAGCTGGGCGGGACTTGGAACGACCATCTCCGCGGACCCTGCTAGAGGCAAGGTCGCGGCCAAGCACCGCCAAGCCGAGACGGCCTGCAGACTGCAGGACGCATGGGCCTTCATCGACGCCGTCTTCGACGACATGAGCACAGGCGCGGCGCGAGCAGGCCTGGCCTGGGATCGCGCGGAGGACTGACTGGAGCCCATCGCACCAGGCTCTGGGGCCAGGACCGCCAGCCAATTGGAGGGCGCGGTGGGCGCGCAGCTGACCGGCCAGGCTCGGCAACATTTCGACATCTTCGAGGCTCTGCGCCACTTATCCCGCAGGTGTTTCAGCGACCAGACGTCCACGCGCAGACAGCAGAGCTGCACCCGCAGCCCCGTCATCCGGCGGTTCCTTCGGGACCCCAACGACGTCCAACAGCTGCGCTTGGACGGCGCCGAGTTCGACGCCCACCAGGTCATTGGCGAGCAGCGCGAAGTGGCTCGCATCATGCAGTTCGTTTGGGGCGACGAACCGCCGCTTGCAGCAGACGCCAGGCATGACCAAGACGCGGCTCTCGACGACAACGTCACCGACGTTCCCGAGGACGCCGCCAGCGTCACCAAGGGCGGTTCACCACCAGCCCTGTCGGCCATACCCGAGGAGGCCGACTACGATTTCTCAGGCCACACCCAGCAGGCGACGTCGGCAGTTTGGCGCGAAGTCGAGGGGCGGAGGACATAGCCCTTGAGCAGCAGGAGTTGCAGTGCGCCGACAGTCAGCAACATATCCCCGCTGCCATCGAGCACGCCGCGGCCAGACTTGGCCGCGAAGCCCGCGAGTAGCCCCACTTTGGAGACGTTGCACCAGCGCCAGAGCACTCATGCGCATCGCCAAAACTACTTGCGCGGTGTCTCCGCGGACGACTACGCCACGCTACACGGGGGGGGGGCGACGGAGTGGAACATGCGGAGCTGTGCGTGGACCCAGGGGCGCGCCAAGCACTCCCGAACTGCAACGAGGAACCGCCTCGCAACCACGTTGCCGGACGTTGCCAGCGCCCCCGCGGCAGCCGCGCCCAAGGTCCACGCTGCAATCAATCGCGAAGCCGACCCCCCGACCAAAGAGGAAGCGTCGAGGCTGTCGAAAGAAGTCGCCGCCGCCACCCTCGAGGAGCTCACCCACTGGGCCAAGCACCAGCGTTTCGAGAGGCGACCTCACAGAGTCGCCCGAAACGCCGCGGGGCCCAGACACGGCCCCAAGCGGTAGCACCAGAAGGGATTGGACGGCAAGACAGCCAGGATCACCCGCCGCCGCATGGCGCTGCGAGGGTTCCGCGCCATAGACGCCGGAGCCCTCGACGCGTTCGCCGGGGCAGCGAAGCGGGCGCCACGGCGCGCACTTGTCCTCAGAGGAGGCGCGCCACCCAGACTGCGCGAACGATGACGTGGACGTCGAGAAGGCGCTCCTGCAAGGCATGACCTACGCCGAGATGCAGAAGTGGGCGAGGCACCCCGCGAGGTGAATCTCACCCTGCCGCACGGCAATGCCGCCATCCTCAGGCAGGCGCCAGGCCACGGGTTCTTCGACGAGCGGGCCGAGTGCCTGCAGCGCATGAAGCTCGGCACGGGCTGCGCCCAGAGCTTTCAACACGAAGCTCGCCCGAGTGCGACACCGAGCCGACGCGGCGGGACCTTGACCCAGAGGTCAAGCACGACGTCCAGCGCCCATGGTGCAAGCGGCTCGGGGCTAGCGCCCACGCTGTCCAAGCACGTTGACGATCTGTAGATCGCTGATCCCAAAGAGCATGGGCCACATCGAGAACGTATTCTGAAAAATGAAGTGGGACTACGACGACTTCCAGCTGTGGGGCACACCAGCACCGCAGTGCCGATGGAACAGTGACGCTCGACCAGGACGAGTACATTGACGCTCCGAGCCCCATCGAGCACGTCGACCTGGCCATGGCGAAGGCCAGCGAGCCGGCAGGAGGTCAGCTTCCGGATGTATAGGTCTCCCACCTCGGAGCAGCAGAATGCGATCTGCTCTCGCGACGCCATGCCACCGCGTGCGCCTTCGCACTGCAGAGGGCCAAGAACAATCTGCTCATCCGTCACGCGACGCAGCTCAACTCCGCGGCACTGGTCTAGCAAAAGATCAAGGCGCGCATCACCTTCCCATCGATGGAGTGCGCCGGGCGACTTTGCGCGCACGGTGACGGGTCTTTCAGGAGGAGCCGCATGCATGCGTCTGGGCAGGCGCCGCAGCACGGGTAAGCCGGCGCTCCACTTGGTCGACGCTGTGAGCCGATCGCACAAGCTTGTGTGCCGATCGTCGATTGGCTCAGAGCTTTCCACAGCCTGCAGTGCAGCGGACGGCCTACAGGCGCACCTCCTGACGCTCCACGAGATGGTACGCGGACCTGCCTCAGCCAAGGAGATCAGGAAGCTGCGAGAGGAAGAAGGCTACGCTGTGCCGGCCGAGCTGGTCGTCTTCGGCACGTCCGTGTCCTTGGCCCTGGCTATGGACCCTGCGCAACCACCATCGGAAAACAGCACGGCTTGTCATCTCTGGCGGTTGTCGATCAGCTCCGTACCAAGCAGATCGACGACAAATTGTGGACATGAGAGCCGACCCATGACGAAGTGGAGCATCGGCCGAGACCTCATCCTGAGCATCATGGACGGCAAACTCAGCTACGACCACAACACGATCAAGCTGAGCGAGGAGAAGCACAAGAAGACCGCACCGATCTCACAAGGTAGGGATCTCGCCATCGAGGGCAAGGCCGACTAGAATGACGAATTCACCGGTTCGCCCAGAGACTTGGGCAACGGCGCCTTGGGTGCGTTGGCTGAGTCAGCGCGACTCACGGTCCCCACGATGCCGACGGACGAGGCAGACGCTCGCATCTCGCGAATTGCGTCCGCGATTGCGACGTAGCAAAAGCATGCATGGAAGAGGGCTGCGTCCATGAACTATGTTCGCGTTTTTTAAGCAGACCATGCAAGTGTATGAGGTCGCGCTCCAGTACTGGTCTGCTGCCTGCCATTGTTGATAACGAACGTGTTTGTAGAACGCCCTCTCGTTAGCTTGAATTTTCCTGCGTCGCTTCATGCGCGGCTTGCGTATGTGGGCCGACGAGGCACGGCAGTTTCGTTTGACACCAGATTCGAGCGGTAGATCACCTTCCCTCTGCTTGTTTTCCCGCCGCCATCCTGGGCTCACAGGAGTTCATTCCATGCCCGCGTTTTTACTATTGAAAATTACAACATCCTATACAGACCCTTTGTTGTTAGTCTTTTCTTCCTCCTCATCATCATCATCATCCCTCCCCCTCCTCCCCCTACCCCTGCTCCCCCCCCCTCCCCCGTCCCACTTCGGTCCTCCCGGATGCCTCTTCTTTCTTCCCTCCTCGAACTCGGGCACTCCATGCTGGTCGCGCGTTGCGTTTTTCGGGGCGGTGCGTGCGAGGTGAGAAATCGGCTGAGTTGGGTTGCCGACACCCTGGTCTCAGGAACTTGGGTTGCGACCGCGCGGGAAGGGGCATGCATTCCCAGCCGTCTGGGCGCGACGAGCGCGGACGATCGGGAGGAGGACGACGACCGCTACAAGCAGGAGGCGGATGAGCAGAAGTAAGAGGAGGGAATATGAGGAGGAGGAGGAGGAGGAGAAGGAGGAGGAGGAGGAGGAGGAGGAGAGGGACGAGGAGGAGGAGGAGAGGAGAGGACGTGAAGATGATGAAGAGGAGGAGGAGGGAGAGGAGGAGGAGGGACAGACGACGGAAGATGAGAGGGAGCGGGGTGGGAGCAGGGACGCAGCGACCCGGAGGAAGTAGGAGGTACCCCAGGGCCCCCGTCTGAACCCATTCTGCGTCTTGGCCCGTGTGGCCGCCGAGCGGACCAGGGATAGAGCCCGTTGGGCGGCCAAGCGGGATCGGACGCCGAGCTGGCTCAGAAGGGAACCCCTGGGGTGGGGGAGGGGGGCGCGGCGGGGTGGGCCCCGACGCGCGCCTGCCAGGAGGCGTGACGGCAGCAGTTTCTGAGGCCGCCCTCGTGGGCGCGCGCTGGCAACGCCCGCGCACTTGGTGTGTGTTTCCTCCGCCCCCGTCTCTGGCGGCCATGGTCATTGGATTTATCAGCCAGCCCACTGGACGGACAGGGGGCATCGGAGCCGCGCTGGCCAAGGCCGAGGGTCCACCGTGCACGCCGCTGTACAGGGTGATGCTTGCATCTCGCGATTTTGCTGTTTTTGAGCATATCTACCCGGTGTCGCATTTGAAGTGCGAGGTATAGTCGGCTTCTCGGCCTGTGAGCTTGCGCGCCAGCGGCGAGGATGCTTAAAATACCATGATCGCAGCTCCTCGCCAGAGCGAAAAGACAACGACCCCCGCGCGCGCACACATTTTTCGGCGTCGCGGCCCCGCACTCAGACCGCGCGCAAACTCACAACAGCACAGCGGGAGGGTGACCTGGGCGACGCTCACATTGAATTACGTCACGCGCCATGCCACCCCGCGCGCGTGCCTCGCTCAGCGCGACGCGCTGTTCTGCTATAGAGCGAGCGCATGTCGCTGCTCTTTCCCGCGTCAGTAGCGGTCGGGGCTACTGTTGTTACTGAACATGTATGCCCCTCCTTCACTCCCCTCTGTATGCTTATGTCTCCGCCTCTATCTGGTTTATTCCTGCATGATGTCTTGCGCATTTCTGGGAGCTCATGCGTATTGCGGATCATTCAACATGTTTGTTTGCAGTGAGCGGTCCTATATTCATGTTCGCCACATGTTAGACAAGGTTGGGTACGTTGCCAGGAAATTATTTTTCCTTTCGCCAGTCAGGTGGCATAACCGTAGCAAGTGATAGAATGGGGCTCGAATTCTGGTGATTTCCACTGGCCGTTGCAGTGGGAAGTTGCACACGCACACGCACACACACACACACACACACACACTATCAGTCGGCAGCCGTGCGCGCAGCACCACGGTGGTCTCGGCATTCGAAGCGTCTGGGCCAGGTGGCAAGCGAAGAGGAGACACGGACCAGGAGAGACGGCGGCTGGGGCGGCGAGAACGGACAACGAGAGAGGACGGCGAAGGAAGAGAGAGAGAGAGGGAAAGCAGGGACGAGGCAAGAACAGAGGCAGAAGGCGCAGAGCAGGCGAAGGGACAGGAAACTGGGCACCAGGGACAGAGCGAAGGCGGGGGCGGGCGAGGGCGCAGCGAAGAGCGGACAGGAAGGAAGCAGACGGGAGGGAAGGCGGAGACCGGGGGCCGAGGGACAAGAGAAGGCGAGCGACGCCAACCAACAGACGGGACGACGCGGCGCAACGGCGCGGCAGGAGAGGACGGGGGGGAGGAGCTGAAGCGCCCCCACGTGCCTCCGGGCTACCGCGGCACCGCGGTGGAGAAAGAGAGGCGAGGAGAGCAGCGGCCAGGGGCGGCCACAGACGGGGCAGCAGCGGAGGAAGCGGCCGCCGCGGAGCAGCAGGGGAGAGGGCGAGGCGGGGAGAGGGAGCGCCAGCGGGCGGGCGAACGAGGAGGGCCACGAGCGGTGGCAGCCACGGCCAGCCACGAGAGCGGAGGTGGAGGAGATAAAAAGCACCCCCACGGGCGCTCTGCGGGCCCAGCGCAGGCCCCCATCGCACGGCCAGGCTGAGGCCCGCCTGGGTGACCAGGAGACCGGGGAGCGGCACAGAGCACGAGATCCGGGGGGAGAGCTGCATCTAAAAACGCTCTCTCCCCCCGAGGCGCGTTCACTTTTTACGTCGGCGGCTGGGCAGAGGCTGCTGCTCTGGCGACCGGGCATCAATGGGACGCGCTAGATGCAAATTGGGCCGCAATGCGCGGGAGGAGAGGGGGAGACCCCGGCGCAACGGGAAGAGAGGAAACCGGGCCCGCTCAGGCAAGTCCGGGGCACACGTTCACACTCACGTGCAGGCGTTACCACGAAGGCGGCAGCGTGCGAACGCAGAAGTCTCGTATGGGCGCGGGCCGAGTTCTTGTCCGATGACAGTCCCGCGGTCGGCGTTTCGCGGGGGAGCGCGCCGACTTCGGTCAGATTTGGGGCCTCAGAAACGCCCCAATCCTCGCGTTCCCCGCGCCCTCCAGACAACGCCGATGTCGAAAAGCGATGCCCGCGCCCACATAACGCGATCGCAGATATCTTGCAGTCGAGGGCGAGGCTGTCTCGGACGAGTGCCGCCAGGGACGGTGAAGTGGGTGCACTTTAGGCCCGGGCAGGCATGGGTGAGTGCTTCATAATGTACGCGCGCGGACACCTTGGAAACGTCGCCCGCGCATGCAGCTCGGGGCGCAGGGGCGAAGAGAGGGGGGGTGCGCCCCCCCCCCTTCGCTGCCCGCGCCGAGGGGCTGCGAGGAAGGGGGGGCGACGGGCCGCGGTGGCCGCGCTCACCTTGCGATTTGATTTTTCTCGGGTTTCTCTGCTGTCTTTTGCGCTTCGCATCCATTTGCTTGGCGGTGGCGATGGCAGGCGAATGTGGATTGGCCGCCATAGGGAGTACGTTGCCGGTCGACGCGCGCGCTCGCTTCTGGTGTTTCGTCAGGGAGGTAGGCATCGAGGACGTCGACGACCTGGCATTTTTCTTTACCACGGTGGAGGCAGCCGCGGCCTCGGGACAGGAGGAGGCGTGGCGGCGAGCTCGGCAGCTCGCGGGGCATCCGCGAGTGGCAGCGTGGCACAGGGTGGCCCGCGAGGCGCAGTCAGCGCCGCCCGCGCGCAAGGCGGACGCTCCGCCACGCGCGCTGGCGATGGCCCTCCCTGGCTTGCGCCCGCCAAGAGGGGGGCGCGGCGTGCAGCGCGCGGCGGCGAGCGCCTCCGGCACAGAGGAGGCGGACGCCGCGCAGCGCGCCAGCGCGGCCGGGGCAGCGGTGCCGCTGTCCGCGTCCTGGGGCCCAGCGCACGGCTTGGCGCGGGGGCTCCCCGAGGGCCAGGCGCAGCGCTTGTGCGGACCCGGGTCCGCGGCGGCGAAGAGGCTGGCGCGCTTCGCGAGCGCGGGGGTCCGGGACGCGCTGCGCGTCTGGGCGAGATGGGAGGCGTGGGCCCGAGCACGGCAGCTCGAGCCCCTCTCCGCGGAGGCTGCTGGCAGCACACTGATGGTGGACGAGTTCATATGTCATATGTGCGGTGAACAAGCCTCGGTGGAATCGGTGAACAATTCATATGTCATATGTGCGTGTGGAATCGGTTGAAGTGGCTGCAGAAGTATCTCGGTGCGCCGTTCGCGCTCGAAGACGCGATGAAGCCAGACGCGCGGCCCGCGAGCAAAGCGGGGGGAGAGTTGCGGCAAGCGACCGTGCTCGATCCGTGCATGGTATCGTTCCTGCATCAGATACTTGCCGCACAGGCAGCGCAGCGCGGTTGGCTCGAGGTTCCCGCCGCTGCAGCGATCGCGCTGTGCCACGGGTGGCTGAGATTCCAGCAGTTGTCACGGTCGTACCCGATTGAAAGGACGAGAGCGCTGGCCTGGTTCAGATGTTACCGCGGAAAGCGCGGCGGATGTTTCGATTGGTGCCTGGTGCGGACCGCGGTGCCGCGTTGCGCAGCGGATGTGCTCTGGGACGCGTGGCATAAGCGCGCAGGGGCTGCCGGCGAAGGCGCCCCCCTGCCAAGGGGCCTCGCGGCGCACGAGGATGCGGGGCAGCTCTGGCGTCTCGCGCACTTCTCAAAGTTTCTGCAGTCTGAGATCGGCCTTTGTCTGAATTCACCGCTCGAGAGGAAACTGATCACGTCGTACATCCTGAGGCGTTTCATGCCGACGTTGGCGGAAAGCGTGCAGCTTCCGTGGACAGAGCGCGTTGTTGGCGGGGGCTGGACGCCCCGCGATGGTGGCGGAAGTACCGGCGCCCCGAACATGATGCCGTTGCGATACGCTGGAACCAGACGTGAGCAGCAGGGTTTCGTCCGTCTGTACATGCACGAAGTGTTTCACGAGGCCGTGGCCAGCTTGCCAGCCCCCCTGCGATTCGAAGGGGTCAAAGCTTGGTGGGATACGCCAGCCGCGCCGGAGGTCGCAGCGGGCGCGCGGCGCCGCGCGATGCAGCTGCTGGCGGCACAGGGCGCGCCCGAGCCCGCGAAGTTTCTGCCGCCGGCGGTAAAGAAAGAGCTGGCGCGCCGGCGGTTTGGCGCGATCACCGCGTCCAATTACGGGGAGCAGAGCGCAGCGCTGAGGCGACAGTTCCGCAGCCGGGGCCGCCGCGCTGCCCAGCCGCCGCAGCGGCCGCGGCGGGCGCAGCGCCTGCGCGGGATCGCTGGTAAACGCGCGCTAGAGGAAGGCGAGATCGGCAGCGATGAGGAAAGAGACAGCCAGTCATCCGCAGCGTTGCCCGTCGAGCGGGCAAAGCCGGCAGCACAGCCGAGTGCCGGGGAGCTTGCGGGAGCAGCGGCGCCAGCGGTTGGAGCGGCCCCTGCGGCAGCAGCAGCGCAGGCGCAGGCAGCGCCAACGTCACCCCTTGGGGGCGATGTTGTTGCAGCAGCAGCGCAGGCGGGCGCATGCGGCGCCAGGGGCTTTGTAATTCGCGCGGAGCGTTTCTTTGCCGCGCAGGCGCAGGCAGCGTCACCGTCGCGGGCGTATGTGAAGGCAGCTGCAGCAGCAGCGCGAGCGCATGCAGCGCCAACGTCAGCCCTTGGGGGCGACGTTGTTGCAGCAGCATCAGCGCAGGCGGGCGCACGCAGCGCCAGGGGTCGTCGTGCGCGGAGCGCTTCTTTACCGCGCAGGCGCAGGCAGCGTCGCCGTCGCGGGCGTATGTGCAGCCCGCTGCAGCAACAACAGCGGTGCAGGCGCGCGCAGCGCCGGGGGGAGCGCAATGTGCGCATGTGCAGCGCCGCCGTTTCGTTCAGGCGCACTCCGCGCCATCATCGGCCGTGGGAGACACGGTAGCGGGCGCCCCGCAGGCCGGCGCAAATAGCGCCCGAAGCCGCGTCATGCGAGCAAAGCGTTCGGTCGCTGTGCAGGCGCACCCAGCGCCACCGTCGCAGCCAGCCAGACTGAACCCCGCATCAGCAGCGGTCTTC